CCCTCGGCCCGCGAGGCCTGGCCCGGCCCCAAGCCTGTCAGCCCAGAGCCAGCAGTCACTGCCCCTGACCCAGTGGCCCCAAAACTGAGCCAGCAACCCAGTGCCAGCCAGCCCTCCACTGCTCCCCAGGAGCAGCCTGCCAGCTCCCAGGAGCCTGACAGGGCCTGGAGAAGGCAGGTGCCTTCCTGGTCCAGGGTGGAGATAAGGGTGGACCTTTCTCAGGTTTGGGAGGGATGTCCCCAACATCCATGATCTCCACACTAGATGGAGAAACTCGTCCATCTATGGTACGATGGCTGCCAGCTGGCCACCAAAGGCTACATGCAAACCCAGGAGCAGGTTCGCATGAAAATCAAATTGGTCCAGCGAGACCCCCAACCCTGAGCCCTGAACTTCTCCTCCTGCCTCTCCTTGCTTCCCCCTTCCAACTCCCTTCTCCCAGGTTTCCCCCTCTCCTCTCCCACCCTCTCTCTTCCCCTCTCCTGCCTCCTTCCTCCAGTCTCACCAAAGTTTCATTCCCTCCACTCCAGTTTGGTTAAATAAAGAGAGTTTGTGTTCATGAAAATACATGTATTTTATTTTACATCAGGAAGGGAAGTTAGGGAGGGGTAAGTGGAAGGACGTGAAGGAGGAATGAGGCACAAGCCCTGAATGGGGCAGACCAGGGAGGCTCTTAGTTCTCCTCAGGGTGGAAGCTCTCTCACAGGGCCTCCTGGATACTGACAGCACCCCAATGGACCTCCCGGATGGCAGCCTGCAGAAGGTGCAGCCAGGCTCGCAGCAACGCGTCCACGAGAAGCACCAGAGTGCCCAGGGGCAGCTCTGGCTCCATGTTGCAGAGTGCTGTGGTGTCCCGATTGAGGGCAACCAGAGCATACAGAGACAAAATGCTTTGCTGTCCCTCATTGAGGTAGGCAAGCAAGCAGGGAAAGCTGAGACCTGGTTGTCCAGGGGAGTCCCTTTAAGCACAGGCCTCAGATAGCCTCAGGCAGCAGCCACACAAAGTAACTCCTGACTTGATGCCCTGCTGGACCTGGTTCCAGCCGGCCTTAAATGCGTTTCAGCATCCACTCTGTGGACGCACTATTTCGAAATATCAAAACGCTATTTCGAAATGCATTTTGTGTGTAGACGCATTATTTTGAAATAAGCTATTTCGAAATAACGCTGTAGTGTAGACATACCCTAAGAGAACTAAGGTCAAGGAAAAGGGGAAAGCAGAGGGGTATGTCCAGCTAGCTAGATACCAGAGGAGATGAGGGAGAGGGGTTGTGTCTGAATAGTTACAGTAACTAGTGGTGTCCCCCAGGGGTCCATACTGGGACCAGTTTAACATATTCGTAAACCATCTGGAGGAAGGGGTAAGCAGTGAGGAGGCAAAATTTGCAGATGATACAAAACTGTTTAAGTTAAGACCAAAGGAGACTATGAAGAGCTTCAAAAGGCTCTCACAAAACTAAGAGACTGGCCAAGAAAATGGCAAATGAATTTTAATGTTGATAAATGCAAAGTGATGTATATTGGAAAACATAATCCCAACAATATATATAGAATGATAGGGACTAAATTAGCTGTTACCGTTCAAGACAAATCTTAGAATCACTGTGGATAGTTCTCTGGAAAACATCCAGATAATGTGCAGTATCAGTCAAAAAAGCAATCAGAATGTTAATAATCATTAAAAAGGAGATAGAGAATAAGACATGAAATATCTTATTGCCTCTTTATAAATCCATGGTTTGCCCACATTTTGAATACTGCATGCAGATGTGGTAGCCTCATCTCCAAAATATACTTTGGCATTGGGAAAAGTTCAGAAAATGGCAAGAAAAATTATTAGGGGTATGGAACAGCTGCCAAATGAGGAGCAATTAATAAAACTGGGACTTTTCAGCTTGGAAAAGAGACAACCAAAGGGAGATATGACAGAGATCTATAAAATCATATCTGGTGTGAAAAAAAGAAGACTTAAAGAAGAGTCATTTACTCCTTCCCATAACACAAAGACTAATGGTAACCAAATGAAATTAATAGGTAGCAGGTTTAAAACAAAAGGAATTATTTCTTCACACAGTGCAGTCAACATGTGTAACACCTTGCCAGAGGATGTTGTGACAGCCTAGGCTTTTGCAGGGTTCTAAAAAGAAGTAGATAAATTCAGGGACGATAGCTCATCATTGGTTATTAGACAGTATGGGCAGGGATCGTGTCCTTAGCCTCTCCTTGTCAAAAGCTGGGATCAGGAGATGAATCACTTAATGATTACTTTTTCTGTTCCTTCCTTTAGTCTGAGACAGTTTGGCAGTTTTTATGTTCCTATTTGTACTAGTCAGTGTTCCAACACTTCATAGATATTGTTAATCTAGGGTGTTTTTGTTTTTATATCTTCTCATGTTGCTTATTCCTTAAGGCTATGTCTATACAGAACAGCTATTTTGGGATACCAGAGGTATCCCAAAATAGCTACCCTGTGTCTTAACAAGCTACTTGTTATTTTGAAATATTTTTCGAAATAACAGGTGTCTACTTCAGCATCCTTGTAACCCTCGTTCCATGAGGTTTAAGGGATGTCTCGAAATAATGTGTTTTTTCAAAATTTTGGCGCTGTGTAGACGTGCCAAATTTCAAATTTAAAAATAGAATCGAAATAAGAAACATAATTTGTATAGTTCAAATTGCATATCTTATTTCAAGTTTAGGGTGCTGTGTAGATGCATACTAACTGTGGGTGATAATTGTAGTCCTAGATTCACAGTCTGGACTGACATCATTAGAAATCAAAGCTCTTTTTGTGCCTACTCAAAATAAGAATGGGAATTCTGATTTTCAGTCAGGTCAGTATTTCAAACTCAGAGCTACTATGAAGTGTGATTCCTTGGCTTCTGGGTCTCTCCTTGTCTATATTCATTTTGATTTCAGTCTATCTAATTATATTTTTTTTCTGTTTTAGTTCCAGTATATGTTCTCATTAATTCCAAAGACTTAATTCTTAAATGTTTGACTCAAAAGCTGTTAAATCAGAGAATCATTGATCCAAAATATCAGTGGACCGGTCCCATAGGATTAATAACCAAAGGTAATTATATTTTTAACATTTGCAGCTAATTTACACCTTTTAATATGACTTTTGCACTGAGCTGAACTGAAACAGGATGTTCAAACAAGAGGATTTTGGATAAATGTATTGTATTTGATAGAAAGCGTAAGTGCATTCTGATGAAAAATAACAAATCAGAAGTTATAAGTAGAGAGCAATATAAACAGTTTGAAAGATAGTCGGTAAAATTCTAAGGCTCAAATTATTGGTAAAAAAGAAAAAAATATAAGGAAACATTCCTCTACGGGGCAAATGTCGATCCATATCTATTTAAGATTGTGGAGTTTGAGTTTCTGCCAGCAACAGCGGGCAAATCAGCACTCTAAAGTTGTGTGTGGATAACTGTCTGAAAAGGTAAACTGTTTACAACCATATGGTTCTGGTCATCTTTCCTTTGTGAATAGGCGCCATGTGTAGACAACCTGATGGAGAAGGAAGTTGACTGTGATGCTTTCTATATACGAGTTCTGACAGAAACTGACTACAACTGTGTTCTGATTTGAGGGGGGGAAATAAAGAAGAGAATGAGTTTTAAATGTAGGAAAGATATAAAATATGAAAGAAGCTGTGCTAGAAACAACACAAAAAGAGAAAAAGAAAGAATGAAGTAAAAAAATAGAAAGAGGGAAAATTGGAAAAGAAAGGAAAGAAAAGAGCAGACAACTAGGGACCAAAATGAGGTGATGAAGCGGTGATGTAAGGAAATTAAAAAGAACCACCTCCCCAATCTTTTTTGAGGTCCCAAAATCTCTCCCCATTTCATCCTGACTGGGCTCACTTTTTGATCATATTGAATCTTCAAATGTAAGAATACGTCAATGTTTGGAACTTCAAGCTTGCTTTTCACTCAGAGCTCAATTAGGGAACAGTAGTAATAAGTTAAAAGTATATGATCGTTTCCAATAAAGCCTAGAGACATCTGTACTGAGGTTTAATCTAGGAGTGTACTGGAATGACATTGAGTTAGAATTTTCTGTATTTCTGCTTTTGGGCATATTTGATGTTCATATGTACAATCTTAAAAAAAAAATCTAAGGAAGATTATTATTCATGCTCACTGGAAGGGTTATTCTAATTTGTAATTATCAGGGCTCGACAATTAGGGCAATCTACTCACCTGTGGTGAGTAGATTTTAGCCTGGCACTGCGCCGCAGCACGATCAGTGGATGCGCAGCGTGCCAAACCGCGTGGCTGGCAAGCGGAGTTCACCACCACTTGTCAAGCCCTGGTAATTATGATCTTTGATAGTGTCTACAAGATCATAGTCTTATAAACATCAATCCCCAGAAACATTTTCATTAATTTCAATGGAAGCAGTTTTTTTGTTGTTTTTTTTTTTGTTAAAAAAGTTCAATATATTCCCCAAGCATAATAGGGCCTCTGGTCCTTATCACTTCCCCGTGGAAAATTTCTGTGTGGAGGAAAAATCTGAAAAAAAAATTTGAAGTGCTTTTACATTTTTGTAAATCTCTAGGCTACATCTACACTGCAGGCTTCTTGTGCAAGAATGGCCGTTCTTGCGCAAAAACTTGCGGAGCATCTACACTGCATGCATGTTGTTGCACAAGTAAATTTACAGTAAAGCGTCGAAACAGAGGGTTTCCTGCGCAAGAGTTATTCCTCTCCCCATGAGCAATAAGCCCTCTTGCGCAAGAAGGCAGTGTGGACAGGCAACAGGGGTTTCTTGCACAAAAGCACATGGCAGTGGAGACGCACTCTTGCACAAGACCTTTTGCGTAAGAACTCTTGCACAAAACAGTTCTTGTGCAAGAAGCCTGCAGAGTAGACGTAGCCTAGCTACTGTTTAAACTTCTTAGCTCTGATCGGCACTATGACTTTTGTTCAAAATAACACATATACCCCCCAACGTCAAATTTATAAGCAGAATGTCCACACGACCATGCCTGTTATTTCAAAACGCAGAATTCAAAATCTGTACTTCTGAATTTCATTAGGAGTAATGCTAATTTTGAAATAGTTATTTCAATATAATGGTAGTGGGGACACTCCGGTGCCACTATTTTGAAATAATTGGCCTCTAGAGGCCTCTTGCAGCTGCAACTCTGATCTCTCTGGCCACACCAGGCATCTCTACTGTTCTCCTTCTCCTGCGGAACTGTAAAAGTCCCGGGAGCAGGAGAAGGGCTTGTCCCACATGGCCAGTTTTGCAAACCCTGTGCAAGAGAGTACCCCAGGGAGTCATGAGTGACCCCAATGTCCTCGGACATCCCAAACACTGCCAGCACTTTTGCTGCTCCCATGGTCTCCACTGCCCAGGGATGCAGAAGAGCTCTGGTCTGGACTGGTGGACCTCATCAAAGTGTTGGGGAGGAGTCCAACCTCTGGAATCTCTGCTCCAAGAAAAGTAACACAGATATCTATGACAGGATAGCCGCCAGCCTGGCCAAGAAAGGGCACACCAGGACCCTCAACCTGTGCCACATGAAAATAAAAGAGCTGTGGCAGTCCTACCTCAAGGCCAGAGAGCAGAGCGGATGCTCTGGGGCAGCACTGCACACCTTACACTACTAAGAGCAGCTCAATGCCATCCTGGAAATGGGGAGGCCCATCACCTCCCCTGCCATCTTAATTGAGTGGCCAGAACATGCCCGATGTCAGCCTGCAGGAGGGTGGGGTGGCAGAGGAGGATGAGCAGGAGGAGGAGGCGGCCAGCCAGGGGCTGCTCCTCACTTGTGAGCTGGTCCCTCCCTACTAGGATGTCTCCCAGGCTTCCGACAAACCTGGGGAGGGCACTACTAGTGAGTTCGCTACAAGTAGGCTCAGGCAATGGGCTGCAAGGGGCTACGCACTCCTTTTTTGATGGGCTGCATGCTCTTTACTCAGTCTATGGGTAACACAACAGCTTGTTCACATGTCAGCACATGGAGCACCAGTTCAGAGCACTCAGCTCCATGATGCTCTGACACAGGAACCCCTCAGTCCTTCTCACAAGGTTTTGGAAAGGCCTGCCTTACTCTGACCTCTGTGGTGGGATACCTTCCCATGACAAACCACCACTAAGTAGTCTGGGGTCATGGAACCACACATGTGCCACACATGGCCCAGGATCATGTCCACACTCAGGCAGCATCCATTCCTGGTAAAAAACGGTGATGCAGAGAGGCTTGATCTAATGCATGGAAATCTTCTGGGAAGAGGAAGAGAAGGAAAACCCATTAGCTCTCTCTCTGGCAAGCAGTGTCTGCTATCTCCCCACAACCACCCCTCCAGTGGGCAGGAATAGAAGTTCTCTCTTTGCAGGACACCACTAATACTGGACCCCGTGTGTGCAGGACACAGAAGGAAGCCAAGTTGCCCCATCCTCCCCTCCCATGCCTGCTTGTCCCCAGGCCATGGGTGTTGCAATGCTCCCCTGGGACATCTGTGCACCTGCTGGAAAGTGCCCCCAGTCTAGAAAACATATGGCCTTGCTCAAAGCACATTGTCATCGTCTGAACTGAGACCTTTGGTATTGCTTAGAGATTAGGGTAAGGCTTCATACACAGCATCTCCTATGATGACTACCCTTGTCACTTTTCTTCATAGCTGGGTCAGCTGTGAGCTTAGTCCATCCCTCACCTTCCACTCCATCTACCAGACTGAGTGGCATCAACAGGTGCAAATGCACCTTGGAGGAGGTCATGAGGGAGTGGATGGCCTACATGTAAGTCCCTTGTCCAGGGACTCGAGGAAGAGTACCAGGAGTGGGCCACCGACTGGGAGGAGCGCCGGGATGACTAGGGGCTGAGAAATTCTACCTGGGACAAGCTGGCATGCCAGCATGACTTTGTGTTCTCCACCCTCATCTAGGTGATCGAGTGCATGGCATTGTCCATGGGGCAGGCCACCAGCCACCTCCCTGCTTGCCCCATGGCTTTCCCTCCAAGGCTCCTTAGGAGCTACTGGGACCCCTGAACATGGGACAGTGAGACCTGTAGAGCAGCCGGGGTCTCCAAACCACCCAAAGGCAGACACTACATCCAGCCCTATTCCTGAGCCCCTCTCCCCATTCCAGGTTCTTTTCCCATTCCTTCCTCTGTTATATGTCCCTCAAATAAAGAGTCCTGTTTTTTTTTTCCAAAAAAGATGTCTTTATTGTTTGCTCTGCAGGGGAGGTGGGAAGGACGGGCAGGGAAAGATAAGGCTGAGGGATGAAAGGCACACAGAGGAAATGCAGGGGGCCCTTGTGGAGAGGCAAGGGGATAAGTCTCAGAACAGGCCTTCCATGAAACTGTCCTTCAGGGCCTCTCTGATGAGCACAGCCCCTTGCTGTTCTCTCCTGATGGCATTGATATCCATATGCTTGAACTCCTTGGCCAAATGTTCAGCCTCATCCCCCCTATCCTGGCAGAAAAGTCTCCCCCTTTCTTTCACACAGGTTGTGGAGCACACAACAGGCCATCACCATGAAGGGGATGTTGCACTCACTGAGGTTCAGACAGGTGAGGGGAGTCCCAAACCTTTCTTTTAAATCCCTGAATGCACATTCCACCACCATGCTGCATCTGCTCAGCCTGGTGTTGAACTCCTCCTTGCTGGGGTCCAAGCTGCTTATGTAGGGCTTCATGAGCCAGAGGATCACAGGGTAGGTCGCATCGCCCAGGATCACTATGGCTGTGTCTAGACTGGCCAGTTTTTCCGGAAAATCAGCCGCTTTTCCGGAAAAACTTGCCAGCTGTGTACACTGGTCGCTTGCATTTCCACAAAATCACTGACTTCCTACTGTAAGAAATCAGTGCTTTTTGTGGAAATACTATGCTGCTCCTGTTCGGGCAAAAGTCTTTTTCCGAAAGACTTTTGTGCAAAAGGGCCAGTGTAGACAGCAGAGATTTCATTTCCGCAAAAAAGCCCAGATCGCGAAAATGGTGATCGGGGCTTTTTTGCGGAAAAGCGCGTCTAGATTGGCCACAGACGCTTTTCCGCAAAAAGTGCTTTTGCGGAAAAGCGTCCTGCCAATCTAGATGCTCTTTTCCGAAAATGCTTTTAACGGAAAAGTTTTCCGTTAAAAGCATTTCTGGAAAATCATGCCAGTGTAGACGTAGCCTACGAGTATGTGTACGTATCCAACTCTGATGGTGTGGTTGGGGAAAAAAGTGCCAGCATGCAACTTTTGGAAGAAGGTGGAAGATGTGAGTGTCATGCGCCTTACCTGACTATCCAGCACTGATGTTGGTGAAAGGCCCCTTGTGATCCATGAGGGCCTGCATCTCCATGGAGAATTGCCCCTTTCGGTTGATCAACTCTGAGGCCCGGTGGTCAGGGGCCAAGATGGGGATGTGCATGCCATCTACGCTCCCTCTATCCCACAGTTTGGAAAGCCCATGGTGGCAAAGCTGTTGACGATGGTGTCCACATTTCCCAGAGTGATGATCCTTCACAGCAGCATGTGGTTGATGGCTTTGGCTACCTGCAGGAGCATGGCCCTGACTGTGGATTTCCCCACGCAGAACTGGTTCCCGATGGAGTTGTAGCTGTCCAGTATGGCGAGCTTCCACAGGGCAAAGTACATGCGCTTCTGCACAGGGATGGTGGGACTCATGCGGATGTCCTGTTGCCTGAGGGCAGGGGTGAGCCACTCGCAGAGCTCCAGAAAGGTGGCCTTCTACATGCAGAAGTTCTGCAGCCACTGCTGATGGTCCCATCCATGCAGGACCATACAGTTGCACCAGTCTGAGTTCATCTCCCTCCATCAAAAGCAGCATTCCACAGGGTCCAGGGGACTGAGGGGCATGCGCAGCAGCAGGAGCACCATGACCTGGGTGACCAGGGCCCACAGGCCATGCTGGGGTTTATTTTCCTTGACCGCCTGTGAGCCTAGCGCTGTTTTGCAGTAGCTTTGGCACCATGGTGTCAGTACTGTGGCATCTGCACGGGCAACCAGAGCACAAGATGGTGCATGCCCACTGTGTCCCTTTTCTGTCCCGTGATGGGGGAGGCAGTGGAGGAGTGCCTTGTGAGACACAGCTGTATCGAGGAGCCCCTGCAAGCACGTGTCGCAGTTTGCCTGATCTAGCAGCCACAGGAAGTATCTGCTCTCTTGGTGCCCTCTCCAGATTGCTTCCAGGGGCTCTAACTCTGAGGCAGGCTCCATTCAGTGTGGATGTGCTATTTCAGACTAATTCAAACTAACTTCAGGGCTTCCCTGTTGTGAGGACACACTAGTTCGAATTTGTTAAATTGGGAGTTAAGTCAAATTTACTAATTTCAAAATAATTTCCTAGTGTAGACATGACTTTAATGTTTTAAACAAACTTTGCAATACTTGAAGCTCTCCTAGACTTGAGACTTCAGTTTTCTGTTTATAGCTCATTTACCAGGTGAATTAGTCCCTCTAGATCAGGGGAATCCAAACTTTTTTCAAAAAGGGCCAGATTTGAATAAGTGAACATGCGTGAGGGCCGACCATTTTGCCTGACATTCTTTGAACCATTAAAATTAAATGCAAATTAACTATTTTATACAAAGTTTATTGCAAACAGCATACTTTTCATTTCGTCACATGGATGACAAATCTAAACAGGTGTTAAATCACTCTGCCTTTCATATCTGAAGGCCAGATGAAAAAAAAATCCAGGAAGCTGAAATATATGTCAGGAACATTGTAAAGTACATTACATATTATTGGTAATAAAGGTTGTCTGTCAACTTTTAAGTTCAAAAAATATGAACAGGAACATAACACCAAGTATACATGTTGTGTCCAAATATATTTATAACTGATTTAGACCAACTGACTTTAACTGAGATTTTACAATGTATTCATCTCAATACATATGGATTCATTGGGGGCCATAAAAGATAGATATTGCCAAATTACCCGTGGGGCCGTATTAAACCGGAACACGGGCCGCAATTGGCCCACGGGCCGGACTTTGGACATGCCTGCTCTAGATGAACAATGAACTGAAAGTCAGAAGACCTGGGTTATATGCCCTTTTTATCATTGACGTGCTGTGTGACTTTGGACAAATAATGTCTTCTTTATGTGCCTCAGTTTCTATTCATGGTAAAGCAGAAATAATACAGCCTGTGAAAAGTGGTTTGATATACAGATGAAAAGTGCAATATGGGCCTGATCCAAAACCCACTGAAATCAATAGAAGTCTCCTTAATGATGGTGCAATCACAGGGAGCATTGCAGCTTGAGTATATATACACGTAGAGTTTTACTCTGACTTGTATTCATTTATGTGAGAGCTGTACAAGTCTGCTTGCCACCTCAGTTAGATACTCACAGGGCTTGTCAGTGTTGTAATGTGCAATGCCATAGCATCACTGCTCAAGTTCACAAGTTAGCTAAACTGAAGCTAGCTTAGGTATGTCTATGTCAAGTGTGAACTCAGCCCGATTGCTGTACAGATATACCCTGAGCCTAAGAACTAAGTTTGTGTCTAACATAATAGCCTACTTTCATTTCATTATATTATTGGTTTGTATTCACTAAATAGTGGAATCTATGTTCTCCAAATAAGTTTTTCACATATCCCACCATCTGCTTATCTTTTCATCTGTAGCTATTTATTAATATCATTTGTGTTTTGAGAAGAATGGAATGTAGGGAGCACTGTCACACATAGTTCACATGATGCACTGGAACCCACAGAGCAAGCATAAATGTTTTATTTTTTATTGCTAGAATCACAAAGATTTGTTTTAACTGATGATGGTAGCCTGGAGATTTATAACATTCATGGGAGTGACTCTGGAAGTTACATCTGCAATGTCATATATGTATATAACAATAAAGATGTGACAACAGAAATCCGTTTCATGGTCTATGGTAAGTAAAACCTTAGTTTTGTTTCTGAATTTTTATTCAAATGCTGTTTTTCCATAGCATTAATTTCATATTTGTTATTAAAATACATTAATATTATTTTATTTGTATTCAAATTTGCTTCACTGAAATATCTGAACTCATGATTAAACCATGCTTAGAATACATCTACACTGCAACACTATTTTGAAATAACTTAGTCTGTGTCTACACAGCAGACAGTTATTTCAAAATAGTGTCAAAATACTGTCAAGCTGGAGAACTTCTTACTCCGTCTCCTGAAACCATCATTGTATGAGGAGTAAGGGAAGTCGGAGGAAAAGTGTTCTATTTCGAAATAGGTGCTATGTGGATGCTCCTTATTTTGAAATAAGCTATTTTGAAATAAACTACACAATTGACATAGCTCAACTTGAAATAAGCTATGCAAACTAAGCCCTCCAGTGTAGATACACCCTTAGAAAAGTATTCAAAGGCTTTTAAACTGTAACAAGTGGACTAGATTTCTCCCTCCTTACAAGTGGTTTCTAGAATTGTTTAAGAGGATGTGGGTTTCTATTCCTCCTTTTATCTTTTCGTAGCTATTGTTATAAGAAATGTTAGGCTAAAGAAGTGTGTGTGTGGAGGGGAAAGTGGGAGGTTGCTTTTGTTTGAAGGATAGGGAGGTCTGTGATCATTCTCACTTCTTCTGGATGGATATTCCATAGTCTCAGATCAGCTTCTGTAAAATCTCAGGTTTTATCCTTTCCCCTCCAAATTTGATCCTTTGTGTTGACTCTATTGTAACTACTATGGAACATTTCTGTCAAGACAGGGAATGAATTAATGGGTCTTCTAGTTTGAAATCTGAAAAGTTTCACATCCAGGATGACAAAACGGCAAGTGAGGTATGTAATATGGATTGATATTTTGAGAATATGCCAGCATATTACATTCCTACATCTTAAATTATGCTGATAGTAGGTGTTTTCTGGTGTGCATCTGCAGAATGAAAAAAATGTAATATAAAATTTCTTTACTTCCAAATCCTAAGCAGCTCAAGTAATTACTATGCTGCATTGCCACCTGGTGGCCATATGAAGGGAACAGTACCAGCATATTATCTTGATCCATACCTCACTTGTACATTTGGATTCCATTTTTATTTCAGAATGATTTGATCACAAACTTACCAGACTGAACCTTTTCCCAAGCAGCCCCTGTATATGTTTGTATTTAATTTCAGGAAAACTTGCACTATCTTCAAACGCAAATTTAATATAACAGCTCTTGTGGAAAACAAGCATATGGTCTGAGCTGAACACCTTGTGTGAGGTGCTGAGTGTCTCAAGTCTCATTGCAGTCAATGAGAGCTGAAGATTCTAAGCATCTTTTAAGACTCACTCAGTACTTCACAACATCAAGACAGTTAAAATACCTGGAATCAAGATAACTGTGGCATAGTAGCAGCAGTTTAGATCCTATAGAACTGTTTCTCTCAAACTTTTTGGCCTATGGCTCACTCAATGCAGATCTTCCATGGACCACCAATCAAGCACCCATGATGACAAAATGGATGCATGAGTGAGCTAGGGGTCAGGTTGTCTGGGTGGGAGGTAGGATGGAGGATCAAGCTGAGGATGAGGTGGGCTGGGTGGGAGGTAGGGTGGAGGACTGGTTGGAGAGGAAAGGTCTGGGAGTGAGGTAGGGTGCAGGGACAAGGTGGAGTGAAGGGAGGGTGCAGAAGTGGGGTAGGGGACTTGGTGGGAGGGTGGAGCATGAAAGGATGTGGGTGAGGCTTCTGGACAGGAGGGAGTTGGAGGATGTTTACCTGGCTCAATGCCTCCCATCAATCTCAGGCACTGTGTCTCTCTCCCATTGGATGTGATTCCAGCCAGTGGGAGCAGCAGGGAAAGCTACCAGGCAGTGCGTGAAGCTGCATCTGACTAGTGAGGTTCTTCCCTCACCCCCTCAGTGGATGCTCCAACCTCGGGAGGGGGGGAAGTTGGTCTGGAGTACCAGTGCAGGCTCCCCATTGCAGGGGGGCAGAGCCCTGAGCTCTCAACCTATCTGCAAAGACAGTCATAGATCACTACTAGTCTGGGGACCACATTTTGAGAACAATTGCTGTAGAAATTATTCAAAATATATTTGGATGGGGGGATATTAATATTCCTTGAGATTAGCATCATGATGTCACAAATAAGATCCAAGATTTTAAAAATGGATGCCAAAGTGAAGCTCCTAAATCCTAATTTAGGATTAGTTAGGGCACTGACATAAGAATCAGCAGATCTGGATTGTGTTTTTGAGTCTTCCACTGAGCTGTTATGTGATTTTGGGACAAGTGAGTTCATTTCTCCATGCTTCAATGCCTTCACCAGGAAAATGGGAATAACTTCCTTTTGTAAAATACTTTTAAGGTCTATGGATTAAAAGTGTTAGATTGTAGGTTATTATTGTTTATTAAGTGGTTTGATTTTTAGAAGTGCTGAGCACTTAGCAATTCTCATTCATGTTTACATAAAGTGCTTAACATTTTGCTAAAAGATAACAAAATAAGAATCTGATTCTATCAACTTTAAACCTTATTCCTGAAATAGCTTCAGTATTTTGCAATCTGTCAGTAAATTGAAAGCTGGAGCCTGCATGCAACTGTTGAACAGATACAGTATACCCAAGTACAAAGTGAAAAAAATCCATTAATTAAAAATACATATGTTCTATGGGACCTTACAATGCATTTGTTGATCTGAGACATCAGAAATGCTTATACATAACAAACATGGACTACGAGAAGATCTTTTAGATGAATAAGTTTACAGTATAGCAAATAAAAATATGAAAAGAATGAATGCTTTATAGTATGGATATCAGGTCTTGTTTAATTTATTACTAGCAAAATAAAAGGTGGAGATAAGTATCTAGAGTAATGACTAAATATTGTCTTTGGAGAAACTAGGATGACACTCCTCCCCTCCCCTCAAAAAAAAAAAGTCAAAGAAAAAAATACTAATATAACTATTTGGGTATGTCTAGACTACATGGCTCCGTTGACGGAGCCATGTAGATGAGTTTACTAGATATAGGAAAATGAAGCGGCAATTTAAATAATCGCCGATTCATTTACATCAAAATGGCTACAGTGCTGTGCCGTTCAACTGTTTGGCGGCACAGCGGGGCAGTTTGGATACGCTGCGGTCAACAAGGGAAGCCTTTATCAACCGCTCCGTTATGCCTCGTGAAATGAGGTTCTGATTTAGACTGATTCACTGTTCATACATTACATTTTAACTACAAGTTGAATCTCTCTAGTCTGGCACTCTCTGGTCTGGCAACATCCGTGGTCTGGGATGATTTTAGTTAGCTAGATGTTCAATTTTCGTGGGTGTGACCAAGTTTTCCACAGTCCCATAAAGTTTGCACTCAGTACTGATTCTCAGTGTTCTGAGCTATTGTTTAGCTTTAATTTACCCCAAATGTCTTCGAAGAGCCCAGTAAGCAGTGGAAGTGTTGGTAATGCTGCTAGACAATATTGACCTCCCGTGGTTCAGCAAATTCTCTGGTTTGGCATCAGTCAGGTCCCAAGAGTGCTGGACTAGAGAGATTCAATTTGCACTTCATAAAATTAAACAATAGAATATCTTAGATACCCAGTTACTGCCTACATGCTGTTGTTACCTTGCTCCATCTCATCTGGGAGAGTGTATGTCTGCAGACAGCAATATTATAGGAAGTTAACCAAGCCATTTGCTTACCAGTTGGAGTGAACACTGAGCATTAATGCTGTCAGAGTAAGTACTCAAAAATTAGGACATTTCAAAAGTTAAGGTTGCTCAGGCAATGTTAATACAGTTATGTTACTCATATGTTTATTTTCTTTTCTAGTTTCACTTTCTGAATGTAAAACTTCAATGTATTACTTTCTTCTTCTTAGACCATAACATAGATACAGTGTGATTGTACTTACATTAGCCAATCAACCTTAGTCTCTAAGATTTCCTGATTTTTTTTAGTATTTGTTTCTTGCAGCAGTAACACTTTATTGCATTCATTTCAGAGTGTTCCCCCCCACTCCATTTACTACTTTTTGAGGATAAAATAAACTATTAGGAATTATACATAACAAGAGAATATATATCAAAGTTTAGCTACTATGATGGCAATAAAGCACTATATATATTACTAGTAACTGAAAGCCCATGTTGTTACATGGGTGTGGCATTTGAGCCAAGCAATTCACCATCTCTGCAGTCTCTTTCATACAACAATGGAAATTGTTGCATCTACATTAGTTGTAGAGAAAGATGGTGATTTTTTTAGTTATCTATGATATCACAATGATCTAGGACAGGGGTTTCCAAATATTTGACACGGGGACCAGTAAATCCATTCACAAACTTTTGGAGGACCGATAACATTCATTTGCATATTTGCATATTCATTAATCAAATGATGAATATTCACATAAGTTGTTTCTGGTCCTCCCAAAGCCCCCAGTGCCAGCTTTAGCAAAGCTTTTGATAAGGTCACCCACAATATTCTTGCCAGCAAATTAAAGAATATGGATTGGATAAATGGAATGTAAGACAGACAGAAAGCTGGTTAGGCCAGGGTTTCCCAAACTTTTTACTTTAGTTGGAACCCTTGTTTTTCAGTATAGTTTTTTGCAGCCCAAAAATATAAACACATACAAAACAAACTGAGAAAATACCAGACATATAACATGTCTGGTATTTTCTCATTAGGTAAATTGTATTATTACTAGATGTATCAGTTTGTAGTTTCGAAGTGCCTGGCTGGTAAATGTACTCAGGCTGCATGAGTGTGTCTACCAGTTGGAACCCTTGTTTTTCAGTATAGTTTTTTGCAGCCCAAAAATATAAACACATACAAAACAAACTGAGAAAATACCAGACATATAACATGTCTGGTATTTTCTCATTAGGTAAATTGTATTATTACTAGATGTATCAGTTTGTAGTTTCGAAGTGCCTGGCTGGTAAATGTACTCAGGCTGCATGAGTGTGTCTACCAGACAGACAGTTCGCAACTACTCGAGGGTGGGGGGGGCGGGAGGGACGACACGGACAACAGAATCCCCTGGCTGGACTAACTCGTGCTTTGCGAGGGTGGGCGAAGGGGGGCAGTGCCCCGAGATCTGCATATGGCCGGGACAGTCCCACTCCCC